AATGCCCTTTATCTAAATTATGTTTCATGCTTCTAAATTTTATTCAAATAATGCTTGAACGACCCAGTGAGATAGCTGTTCAACGGCAAAATATACTTTTATATAAACTTTTCACGAAAAAAACTCAACTAAACTTTTAAAATCAGAAATAAAAAAAACAGCTCCTTTAGATCACTTTTCACGAAAAAAAACCGATCGTTTAGTGGTTTAAGAGTTAATAATTGCAATTAAAATAAGTTGGTTTCTTACCTTGTTTTGTATAACAAAAATGTTATGATTGGTGAGGATTTTTCACTTATTACTAAAAACTATCTATCAAATTTTATTTCTTGGTGTCATGGGCAGTTTATTATAAGCTGTTCATATAATTTAGTTAAATAAGTTCCAACTTCTAATAAAAATTAATTTGTAATTTCTTTTTTCTCTCGCATTAAAAATTCAAAGCTTACTAAAAGATAATATATAGTATTTAAATATAGTATTTAAAGCCCCATTCTCTACAATAATATAATAACTAACAATTTGAAAACGTATCTTAAGCTGCTTTTTACGAGCCGTTAAGTCTCGAAGTAACATTTTCAAGATAATATTTCACATCTATAAATTTCCGTGTCTATTAATATTTTTATTAACATTTGTGAAACGCATTATCATTTGACTAAAAACATTTGTGTTGTTTATAATATGTCGAAAATAGATGAATTTGTTTACAATGGAATATTTTATTTAAGTTAAATTTGGGAAAATAAGTAACATACTGTCTAGATTATAATTCACGTGATATTTGCGATATATTGGCAAATATTTCGCTTGAAATATAAACTACGATTTGAATGCTATTCAAAAATAGATCCTTGTTCAGTTAAATCGCTATTTGGCCGAATCTGTCCATACTTGCCTGTTTACTTTTACATCAATGGCTTTTGAAGCTTCAAGATTAAATTCATGAGTCAAATACATACTACTGTTTTTTTATAAACCATTTTAGTATTTTTGGGATTTTTTTACTTAAATCAGGATGTCGTTAATTAAAATATAGAATTTATAACACATATGCTCTAAAATTAATGAAAATTTTCTCAATGTATGATGAACGATATAAAGTAAAAAATGAACTCACAAATGAATCTACTGTAACATCCATATATTTAAATTTCTACAAATCAATTTATGATGTGAATTAAAAACCAGCAAAACATGTTTAGATCGAAATGAAATGCTTTTATTTTAAATAAAAGTATATTCCAAATATTGTAAATAATTTTACATTCTAAATAGGATTTGTTTCAGCTTTATTTGAACTTTCTCTTCAAATTTATTTGAGAAAAACATAGGGATTAAAATAATATAATTTAAACATGAGTGCTTTCAAATAATTATATATTTCAGTATAAAATTACAATTATTAGTTTCTTTACTTCAAATATACATACAAATTTTACACAACACAAGATAAAGTCATGATATAAAATAAATATTAATTTTACAACTGGATAACATAAAAAACTTATTATTACATTCATTTATAAACATATATATATATATATTATATATATATATATATATATAACTTAAGTATTATTAAATATTTTGATCTCGAATCTGCGTATATTTGAACAAAATTGAAATATAGCCAAACACGTACTTGCTTCTAATTTAGACTATTTATAAGGAAAATGCGTTGCAAATATTTAAGCAACATTAATTTAAATCATGGCAAATCGCCAAAGAAAATTTCCTTGAGATCATTTATGACACGATCTCAGAAATAGCAATAAATGTCACAAAAATTAAATTAAATTTGATTCATTATATATAGAATTATAATTATATTTTATTTGATTCATTTCATGATATATTGAGTATTTATATAAAACGACTAGACGTAAAAATATCTATAATATATATAACTTTCGCATTTTCTTTGTAAAAATATATAAAATAGGCTAGTGTTAGATATGATAAATTTGGGGCAATAAGATTTTTGGTACGAGCACTAATCTTAATAAAAAAAATACAAATTTAAAAATTTTGCTATAGTTGACCTATTAATAAACCAAAATGTAAAAGTTGTACTTAAGATTCTTTATATTTTTAATTTGTTCTCATTGCACCCGTTTAATCTAGTTTTATAATACACAAACTTCTTATAAATTAAGTATAAAATCTATAAATTATCACACAATAAACGCTAGTCTTTCAGAGTAAATAATATAACCCTTAAGACCTTGATTCTTAAATTAATGGTAATATCAACCACAAAATATTGGAAAGAAAATCGTAACGCTAAATGTTTGCAAATAGTTCCATGTCACCCAATTTTAAGCACCTTAATAAGAATTCTATTAATTTTTGAGGCATTCAATTTATAAATTAAATTTTCTATTAAATGATAAATTCTTATTGAAATTATCAAAAATAACAACTGATTTATTTTTCTATGATTTGTTATAAAAAAACTATATGTGAAAGTTATTCTGACCCTTGTAAAAA